CGCAAGATGATTGCTTGGGAGCGCAGTCCGAATGCCGCGCGCGCAGAGCTTCACCAGGGCGCCGGCGCGTTTCCCTCTTCTGCGTTTGCACGCGCGTTTGAACAACACAGCTGTACCTCCGACTAGAATGTCCAACAAAACGTCCGAATAATCAAAAACCGGAAAAATATTGGCTGGGATGTGTTGCTTAATGTTAAGGAGTTCGTCTCTGGTAGAACTTATAGAAGAAGAATGACAAAACACAGAACAAACAAACAAAAACAATAGAAGAATCGCGGAGCTCAGCGTCCTGGCTGCCATTTGCGGCGCCATCTTAATCTGGAAATGGAGATATCTGTGATGGAGATATACTACTAATCACAGAACCAGCTTTACTGACGAGATGACAATCACATGCGATGTATCGTACAGCCCTAGCTAAAAGCTTCATTGGCCAAAAAAATGAACTTTACACAAAAAAATAAATAAAATAAAAAATTCACAGCTTTTTGATCCTGACACAAAATAACCAGCTAACATTAATTGACTAATCATATCAGCAGCACAAAGTCTGAATGAGTACTAGTCAGGTAAAATCACTACCATACTAATTAGATTGTAAGAGCAGACTGATTGCTATAAAAGGAGGGAAAAAGCGCTTCCAATCTTTGTGTTCTTGTTAGCAATGGTTACCTCCCAAGAAACACGTGCAGCCATCATCACTTTGCATCAAAATGGCCTCACATGCAAAGAAATTGCTACAAAGAATATTGCACCTGAAAAAAACATTTACCGGTTCGTCAAGAACTTCAAGGAGAGAGGTTTGACTGCAGTGAAGAAGTCTTCGTGCCTGAAAGAACCATTTAGCGGATCATCAAGAACTTAAAGGAGAGAGATTCGACTGCAGTGATTCTTCAGGACGTCCCAGAGTGTCCAGCAAGTGCCATTACTGTCTCCTCCTGAGGAGGCAGCTACGGAATCATGTCACCACCAGTGCAAAGCTTGCTCAGGAATGGCAGCAGGTTGGTGTGAGAGCATCTGCACGCACAGTGAGGCCAAGACTTTTGGACAACGGCCTAGTGTCAAGAAGGGCATCAAAGAAGCCACTTCTCTCCAAGAAAAGGACCCCCGCCCCCAATCTGAGGGTTGTCCCCCCCTAAAAACATGATTAAAAACCACGCTGTGCATTGTAAAAACAATGTTTTAAAACAACACAAACGGGGCAAAAATGCGTTTAAGTTTAGAAACATTTTGAGTCTCCCCCTCCCTTGCCTCACAGTGCTTTGGTCCAAATGCCTGCTTTCCTCTTTTACATCACCTACACACACAAGTCCGGTGAGAGAGAACAAAGTCAATAGTTGTGGAACTCCAGCAAGTAAGGCTGTCAGGCTATTTTATTCACTTAAACATCGGATTGTGATTATTTTCTCTTTAATACAGATGATGCCAGTGTATTTTTGATGAGTCCGCTATGTTAGCAATAATAACGTTACCTGCTTGAGGGAAAGGGTTGCCAGGTTTTCATAACAAAACCCGCCCAATTGCTACTGAAAACTAGCCCAAACTATCTGCGTTTCGAGGGGGTCCCCCAGTAAAAATCACGTTCCGGGGTCTAAAATACACGTTATTGGGGTCGCTTCAACCCGCGGACATGAAAAACAACCCGTGGCAACAGTGATAAAGTAGCCCAATTCCACAGTAAAACCACGGACTTGGCAACACTGTGACGGACAGTAATGTCTACAACGGACACGAGCGCTGTCACGGCGTGACCACAACAGCTGGAAGTTGTCTAATTTGGCACGGTCTCCCTACTGCACTAATAGTAAGCCATTCTTCTAAGTACATATCCTTACAAGTACAGTTTTAGCTGTATTATTTGTGTCCCCTTAAAAAAATGTATCTTGAGA